AGTTATAATAAAACTACCTTTTAACTACAATAGTTTACGGGACTATGATTTTATGGCACGGCTTTTTTTGTACATACATAATTTTATTGCTTTGTCTAATACATATATATTGTATTTAACACAATTTTAAACTTTAGTATAATTAAAAGTAACATGACTTATGAAGCGAATGTTTCCTATTTAAGGAATTTATTAACCCTTAAATAATTAACGTGAATATTATAACAAAAGTAAGATAAATTATCGCAATAATAATGTACATTTCTTACTAACGAAGAGTGAAATAACATGTTTATATTTATTTTTTACAAATTTAGTAAATAATATATTTAGTAAATTTAGTGATGGGACGAACGAGTGCTACCGGGTAAATGTTCTGCATACACTTGCAGTGGCGTTGAGTCTACCAGGATCCCCCAGCCCAATCCCCCAGGGAATCTTTGTGAACTCAGCAGGAATCCCCTAACTTAAATGTATGTAAAGTTGCAATCACATTGCGACAACAAATAATTACTTATTGTACCGATCGGGTGATCGAATTTTCTTGTCGTTTTCATAGACACCTTTTGGGCGGTACTTCAGATGGACCGTCTACGCACTACGTCCGATTCGTATCTGTGGGGTCTACCAAATTACAAGATAATGTCAAGTATGATGCTTCATTAGCACCATATAGAGGCCGGGAAGTAAGGGATTGCTGGACGAATATGAGTTACAAGGACGAGCGCCTGCGAGGTCTTGTATTAAATACAAGTAAAGCAATCCCCGTTTCCGCCGAGGCATGTATAGATTTTTTCTCAAACAATGCGAGGAAATAATAAAATACCAAAGAGTGGATGTATAATTGAAAACGTACAAAAAATATTAATTAACATTAAAATTTATAAAATACAATTGCTAAAAGAAAATGTTATTGTTTTTCCATGCACATTACATTAGTTGTCAGCTGAACTTCTGTGTTTGAATGTATATCTTATTACTGTATTTTCGTTATCGCTCTTCTCACTAGCACTCATTTTCGCGACCAAAATACAAAAAAGACGAAAAAACAAAAGAATACCAAAACACTAAGTGTTACCGCCAAGGACGTGGCGGTAAAAAATTTTTTATTTTTAATTCTCGCAATTATGAACACTGGGCAGTTGGCTGTATGAGTTTTTCTTTTCCCTGTTTCCATAGTTCATTGTTAGTAGGTAGATTTAAAAGTTTAGAGAAGAGGACAGTAATGGATTTTCATACGTACTTTACAGGCCTTGGCCGGGAAGAAGTCGCATGGTCCATAAATGACAAACTTTCCGTGTTCGTTTTTTGAAAGCAATACAAATATTAGGGGTTAAAGTATGAAATTGCCGTTTTATTGCAATAGGTTCTTTGAATTTTCATAGAATCTTCATGGTTTGAGGTTTTCGAATGAAACTTTTTTCAAATGGTTTCTGTGATTTTTTTTTTTTTTTGATTTGAAACATTTGAATATCGACTTTCAATTGTTTTTGTTATTCAATTTAGACAAGAAAGATGGATACTGCGAAAATTCGAGTGATTTTTGAATACGAGTTCCGACGCGGAACTAACGCGGCAGAAACAGCCCGCAATATCAATGCTGCGTTTGGAGAGGGGTCTACTAATGAACGCACCGTGCGATTTTGGTTTAAACGCTTTCGTGATGGAAATTTCGACTTAAAGAACGAGCCACGAGGAAGACCGCCCACACAGGTGAATAACGATGAATTAAGAGAGATAGTGGAAGCCGATCCTAGTCAAACTACCCAGGAATTAGCGGCATGGTTTAACGTTACCTTACCCACAATATTGACTCACTTGCGTCAAATCAATAAAATAAAAAAATACGAAAAATGGGTGCCTCATGATTTGACTGATCTGCAGAAAGAAACGCGTGTTGAAATTTGTGTTGCCTTGTTGAACCGGTACAGAAATGAAGGAATAGGTATTGAATCGAATTGTAACATGTGATGAAAAGTGGATTCTTTATGATAACCGGAAAAGAAAAATGCAATGGCTGACCCCAAGTCAAATGCCACAACAGTGTCCTAAAGCAAAACTTACCAATAAAAAGGTAATGGTAACTGTTTGGTGGTCTCAGCATGGTGTTATTCACTATAGTTTTCTCCGATCTGGTCAAGCAAAACGGCAGATGTCTATTGTGCCGAACTCCGAACCATGTTGACAAAACTAGCAGTAAAACAGCCCCGACTCATGAATCGATCTTCACCATTATTGTTCCACGACAACGCGAGACCTCACACAGCACGAGAAACCATTTTGACCCTTCAGGAACTGCAGTTAGAAACCATTCGTCATCCTCCGTATTCACCAGACCTTGCTCCAACGGACTACCATTTTTTTCGTGATTTGGACAATTATCTACGTGACAAGAAGTTTTCTTCCCAGGAGGCAGTACAAAATGCTTTCACACAGTTTGTGCAGTCTAGATCGTCGGAGTTCTATCGCAAAGGCATTAATAACCTTCCCATTAGATGGCAGCAATGTATAGATAATAATGGCAACTATTTTAGTACAAATCGGCAATTTCATACTTTAACCCCTATTATTTCCGAGCATGTCTGAGAAAACTTATTTTACAGCACTTGTTTCGGACGGATGTCTGACGGAGAATGAGAGTAGACCCCCAGGACTCCGATTCAGAACTCTTCGATATCTTAACCAAATCGTTCAATTGGATATCGTTTTCGAATCGAAGGGCGGTTTCCGAGCTATTCAAAACGTTCGTTTCGGATTCGGATACGATATCGTTATCCAAGTACGTTTACGGAGTTAGTCAGCGAATATAGATTCTAAGAAAAATGAAATCCTTTTATATACGTTGTTAAGGCTTTTAAGGACGAAAATATAGGAATGCATTAGTCTCGCATTAAAATAAATTAATAAAATTGAACAAAATCCAGATTTTATTTAAAATAATAGAAGATTTCCATATTATACTCTTGGTTTGTAAACAATAGGGCGTTCGGTAACTTTCATTCGATAACTGTGTTCTGAATAACGTTTGTGGCCTTTGCCGGTCGAGAAGTACGAGTAATCGTACGGGTGTGACGTCATCTCGGTTCGGTTTCGAATACGACAGTTTGACGTTCGATTCGGTTATTGTGAATAAAAATGAAAATAAATCGTACGATATCAAACCGAATTGGTCGACAACTGAGTAATCGTAAGGTTCTGAATCGACCTGCTGATCCGAATCCGAATGACGGTCCGAAATGTCAAAGGGATCATTTTATTTCTAGGTGTACAAGCGATATTCGTATTTCCTCTGATTCGAATTGGACTTAGTGCACAAGTGATATCCGAAGTGGGTCCGAGTTCTCTAGATGTGTATAGTCTCGGATTTGGCGATCAGTAATGACGTTGAGGCGACAGACGCTAGTTAATGTCCAATCGGAACGAAGAAATTTTTCTTTGTGATTGTTCGATTTTTGTATCAATAATAATAATAATTACTCAGTGGTTTTCGAAAGTTTGAAGTGATAAATTCTATATAAGTATACATATATATTTTATGACTTTATTAGTAAATAATGTTGTTGTAGTGTCGATTTTGTATCCAAAATAAATTCAAACTATATGTCGTCTTAAGTAAGTTTTGAATAAATTCTACATATAATATAATATGTAACACAACCTAATAAATTCTTATAATTAATTTTAACATACAAAAACTACACAAAGTATTAATACTTACGAGTTTTTAGATTTTAGCGATTGTTACATATTGGAAATGAAACAATTTTTTTCGGATGTAAATCGTGTACCTATATTTTTTTTTCAAAGAAACCAACGTTTTGGGACCTTTACACGTCCCGTGGTTGCGAGTGAATACTATTAATACTTTGTTTTTTTTTTGTAATAACTTCTAACTAACAACCATTGTACACACTGACATAATGTATTCACAGAGTATGTATTGTTTAAATATAAAGCAGAATGTATTTAACAGAAGGTCAGTGGTTTACTTATTTGTACTGTAGGACACGCTGAAGAAGTTGTTCAAGGTATAAGAATTATTTGTTGCAAATTGTACCTTACGTCATTTACATGGACTCTAAATTTGCTAAAACACAACATTCGAAATATTCAATATCATAGTTTTTATATTCAGTTGTTTTTAGGCGAATTTAAATTTCAATCATAAATATATTTTAAATAAGGGCTATAAAGTTGATTTTTGTCATTTGTTGAGATATTTTATATCAATTTAAATTATTTACTTTATGACAATGACAAGTCGAGTGGCGTGTGTGTTTTACGTTCAAGATCTTAACATGATAAATTATTCAGTACGCGGAGGGTCGTATCCCACGCTTTTGTACCCATACAAAACTGCCAAAATTCTAATGAAGTACGGTACAAAAGCGGCAGATATCTTCTCTGTCGCAATCACACGAAATGTCAAATAACTGCTTTTTCTATTGACGACACGAAACTTATGTACAACCGAAACTTATGTGGAACTGTCATATGTTCAAGGATTGTCACAGTGAACATGAAAATACAATAGATAACATTTAAAATAAATGAAATCTAAAATTTCTCGATTGACATCATTGACTTACAAATAAATCGATGACGGGTCTAATACAAAAACCACGAAAAAAATGTCCCAAGTCAACCTGTTTAAACGTAGTGACATGTAAAGGAATATGAAAAACCTAAAACGTTGAATGTAAATTGTAACTGCCTCCGTGGCCGAACGGTTACCATACCGGACTGCCACGCAGAGGTCCCCGGGTTCGATTCCCGGGCCGGGAGAAATATTTGTATGGCCTACATTTATTTCTCTCGTGAGTTTGGGTGTAATTTGTGGTTGTCTATGTGTGTGTCCATGGCACCCGCGACACAGGGTTTCCCTAGTGCGGGGCTATGTTGAGTGTGTGCGTTATTTATATTTATTTATTTATTTATTTAAAAAAAAAAAAAAAATGTCATCGCAGTAATGTCTAATTTTGCTTGCTTCGCTGTCAGTCGAACAAACGAAGACTAAAGCGTGAATGACGCTCTGTATACGATTTTAACGCCCTATAAGTTCGGACACTTTTTAGTGCGGACCCGACGTCCATATAATTGTAAGTCAATGATTGACATTTACAGTGTTGTAACTGCTGTGGTAACGGCACTCAGCTGGCGAGGGCGGGGTGGTGTTGGACGAAGTGGGAGGGGAAACGAATTAACTTTTGGAGTCTTTCAGAAAGACGCGTAGTTTATAAGGAAAAACATTGGTTTCAAACTTACATGTCTGTTGTAGGCTACTCGCCTTACCTATTTCTGCCACCAGGCAATAATGTGAGCTTGTGCGTTCCGGTTATGAGGGGTAAGGATGCTGGTGAAGTTACAGGCACGTGGGACTTGTCAAATTATGTCTCAAGGTGACGGCCGCAGTGGCAGTGCCCTTCAGATCTTTATGATTTAAATCACTGAGTGGTACCGCAACTGGTATAGACAGGCGTGTCACTTACCATCGGGTGAGCGACTTGCTTGTTCCGTCACTTGGTCTCATAAAAAAACATGTACTTAGTAGAACAATTGTGTTTGGGCTAATTGGTTTCGACGAGTTAACGCCACGCTAACGATCACATGTTTTGGTGTACACTGTTTTGTGTCGGAGGTTTTTTAAATTTTAATTTAATATGTTATATTTTTATTAAAAACTATTACGAACATTGTATGTACTGTATAAAACCATGTGCATTTATATAAATTACTAGTTTGAGATAGTAAAAAAAAATAGATTTTGAGATATATTATGCATTTGTAGATAATATGGTTTGAAACCGATAATTGTTTATTATTCTTTGGTTGTACATTCGATTGAGCAATGGAATGTTGTTTAATTGGGAAAAATCTTATAATCTATTATGCTTATAAAATAGCTTTTTACAATTTCTTGTCGAAAACTGAGGGCTTCCATTGTAACAATTGTCACACTGATTTTATTTGGGCACCAAAGGACTTGACTTAAACGCTGTCATGCGCAGACAGCGTTGAAGTCCGAATGGCTGTATAGATGGCCGAACTACTCCGAAGGTGAGAATCGCCTTCATACGACAAGTTTGGTAAAATATGATCGCGTCAAGCCGATTCTACGTCGATTAGTGTAATGACTGCCTTATTTAGTTTACCGACTGTATTAAGAACTTCGAAGGAAAAATAACTGAAGAACTAAAATGGATCAAAAACTTGGCAGTCTTAAAAAGGCGTCTTGTTTTAAAAATAAGGAAGTATTCTACGCAGTTTTGTAGTTGGTAGCCGTTTCAAAAAAATCTACGCATATTCCTTAGGTGTTTTAGATATTCTTTCAGCTTCTTCAATGGTATCAGGAAGTGGAACGTTGATGGTTTCTGGAAGGCTGAACACCATGAAACTCGCTACCAGCGCCATAGTTCCGAAGAATATTGATGGAAGGTTCTGGTAGTAGAGTGCCTGGAGATGAAGAATTATTAGATGTATTTATAGGTACCTTTTACATAGTTAGTTCTCATTTACTACAGAAACGATTCTTAAATGATATATTAGAAATAATAAAAATTTTATTAAGACACGTGTAATCAGAAAAGTCCCCAGATGGCAAATTGTCTTGAACCAATGGTCTTATATACTTTCTTGAACTAATTGATGTTGAAAGAATTGAAACTGAAACACCAACAAAAGGAAATGTTATTTTTTCCTTAAAAGTGCTTATTGGACCAAAATTATCATATAAGTTTATACGTATTTTCTGTTGGATATAAATAACAGTCTGAGTAATGGAAGTAAATAGGATAATTAAATTTAGTTCACCAAAAGCTTACAACATCGCGACGAACGCAAAATTACATACCAACAAAGGCGTTAAAGGTGCTAAAGTAGATCCAATTCTCCCCAATGAAGAGCAAACAGCCAACAGTGACTGTCGTGCATTCGTTGGGAATACTTCAGACACATAAATGTAGACAGAACTGTACGCCACTGTGATGGAAAACTTGCCACTCAGGTACAAGATTAGAGCCCACCATTTGTGATCTGAAAAATAACGATTTAATTTATTTAACGTAACGTGATGTAGATCTGAGTTAAAAGATCTTCGAATATCGATATTAGGCCAAAGGCATCTATCGTGTTCTGCTTTGCGAATTAAGCTTTGCAATTATCGGATCGATCATAACCTCACTCCGAGTTCAGGTATCAGGTCTCCCGAGACAGGGTGTTATATCATGCTTTGCAGAATAACAGCACTCGCAATTCATGTATTTTGATCTTAGATTGTGTTTATTTATTTACAGGTAAATAGCCAACCCACATACATGTTTTAAACAGATAATTATAAATATTTTTAATAAAGGTTCCTATTCTAATTCTAGAAATTTACAGGTCTCCCTACATATATATTCAATTCAACTGTTCAGAGGCTTAAAGCCGCAACTTATGACCTTGGGAATATATCTGAAGATAGTACAAAGGGGTAGCAATGTATTGTGGCAAACTTATCTTCCCACAAGCCGTTTGAACGGTGTGGGCAATCTTTGTTCAGAGCGTGTGTCCACGCTTTGAAACTAAACTTAAACTTTTCAACTGCAAACATCACCAAAGCACGCTATAATACAAAATCAAAGATTAATTTTAACATATAAAAAAAGTGAACCAAGTCAATATTAGTGCAAAGATTTCAGGGCCCAAATGGTCTCATAGTTTTTAAGCTTTCGTGGTTGACACATGCTCCATGGTCACATCACAGGGTAGTTGCTCTGCGGCAGTCGACAGCTTTAAGAACAAACATCCCTGCCTGTCTACGTCTAACCCCTTTGGCTGACGACGGCTATCATCATTTTTATTTCTTGCAGCGTTACCATTATTACTTTTTATTTATTATTACCTTTTGTCCGACAAATCACACTCATTATACGTAAATTGAGTAGTTCACTAGCAAACTGCGTTATGTGTGTGGATAAAAAAGCTATAAACTAAAAAAAAAAAAAAATTTGTTCCGAAAACGGATTTGTAAATGGTACTTTTTCTGAACATTGTGATAAAAAAGAGATAAACAATATGAAGAAACAAAATCACAGTATTAAACTTTTTACTTTATTTCCATTTAAAAATTGAACATAGAGAGTTTTGCAACAGTAATCTTAAAATAACTAGTTTTGTAATTGTTCAGAATTAACGTAGCTAGTTTTGCAACAACGCAATGATAACATGGTATAATAATAGTAAAAAATACAACTTGAATCTAATTTTAATTTTCCTTTAGACTCTTATATCCACGTCGTCAACCATCAATGTATCTTCATTACCTGTAATTTCTTCTTCTTCAGTCATATTGATTGTACTTGCCCGACAATATACTATGATATGATAATATACTCATATTCAAGAATTTCGTATGTAAATCAATCTTCTCCGAAATGTTTGACGATCAAGTTTTAATAAATGAACACGGGAGACCTCTCGGATAACAAAATAAAAAATAAAAAATAACGGATTTTGCACGAGTTTACACTCAATAGAGAAGCGTTTGCAGGTTGATGACAAAATAGCAACTTTTGAAAGTCTAGAATTAAGAAAGATAACGATTTTTGCAAACGTAGTAAACAATTGACACTGCTTTGTTCAGAATATAACAAGTTTTGGCACTGTATTGTTGAAGTATTTGAAATTATATAAATTAACAAAACAACATTAAAAATGTCACATAGCGCTATTTGCAAATGGACTACTCAATTGAAGGCGAACCATTTTGTTTGTTGCACGAGAAACTACGCGCTGAATAGTTTAACCCGTCTATCTTCGCGATGGTTTGTCGTATTAAACGTAGTGCATGATGTTCCGTTAACATTATTTGTGTTGCTATATCCAGTGATCAATAAAAAGTCATATTGTGATATGAAAGCTGTAATTAGTGATAATAAAAATGACCTTGTTCGCTTTTACATCAAGAATTTACTGTTCTCCAAAACGCTATAGAATTCCATACAAATAGACGATCTAGGGAGTGACCATATTTATTTACGCAGAATCGCCTTGAAACGGTTAGAACAAGCTTTATATCAATAAGAGCGAAAAAGACTTCGAGAAAAGGACGCCATTGGAAATTCGCAGGAAGCAGATTCATTGCCTTTCAAAACCTTTTTGTGGTGAACAGCATCGTATAAGTCGATACGAAACGTACAACGTCTTTTTAGCCCTTATTAAATGGACGTCAAGCTTTTTCTGGTCATCTTAATATGATTCTAATAAACGGAATGATTCCCTTAGAGATATATAAATTTTGAGCCCGTGAAAAGGTAAAAACAACCCGTGTTATTTTTGTATAAACCTACGATGCAAGAAAACAACAGAACTGAAGTTTATCCTAAACATGAACGAAACAAAAAAAAATACGGTAGCTTCAAAAATAACTCTAATAATAATAGAGCTAGGATCCTGAAACAATTTCGATCGTTAAAGAGTTGAAAATAAATTTACGTTACCGAAATACGCAAAATCGTTGTCTGAACAAAAAATGAATTTGATTTGAATTCGTTGAGCATCAGTATATTTCGGTAATGTTACCACCAAAAGCAAGTAAAACTTTTGGAAACGTACTTTGGCGGTCGTCCCTTTAGATTTTGTATTGCAACTTCATGCATTTATTCATTCAATGTTTATTGAACAAGACACGCCGTCTCTACCCGGATTTGTGCAATCGGCGCCATTAATCCGAAAATGATAATACATTAAGTAAATTTAGGGGATAATAAGTTTTGAAAATACGCGATTTTACACTAATATGTAAAGAACGTACTTTGTACAAGGAAGCCACATCCTAAAATACGCCAAATGCCAGATTTCGATGTCATAAATTAAAAAAAAATATCAAAAATTTATAAATATATTACTAGTATATTTTTTTATTGAAAGTAGAATTAATGCAGTGGAGATGAGATCTTTGAGAAAATGTTTGCGGAATAAAGTTGAGTGATATAGTGAAGAATACAATAATACGTGAAAGATGTGGCTTGAAAGAGGATGTATGTAAGAAGAATTACCAAACAGACTTATAATGCGAATGTGGATGGAAGGGTTTTAAGAGGACGTCTCAGAAGGACTTACATTGACCAGGTCAGTGATGTCTTCAAAAAGGCTGGGATCCGATGTGACAAGAATAAAAAAAGTTGTATGAAAAGGGCAGTTGATGTACGTGAGGCTAGAAATTTGTGTCAGTTAGTTTAACATTAATTAACATAGGTCTAACACAGTGGACGGATTGTACCATTGGATTGTAACTATAAATGTATAGGTGCTGTTGTATATGTAATTTATTTTAAGAGTAGTTAATCGTATGTGTCATAATAATTGTAATAGTTGCCACAGATCTCAATGCCCAATCTATCCTACAGGATATCTACCGATATACATATAAAATTTGATAATTACGAAGTTAAATATAGTGAAACAAAAACTAAATACAAAGTAGATGAAGATACATTTTAATGCATCTGGACGACAAAAATCCACGCCAGAGATCCAAATATTTCAGATTGTTTGTACCAATGTTATTTCAAAACAATTATTGTAAATGATAAATGTCAACAAAGATATATTTATGAAGTAAATTCCAGGGAAATTGACTCATGAATAAATGTTTAATGAATCTGATCAAAATGTTTTAAAATTAAGATATTTAGAATTAGATTATAATAATGTAGTTTGTTGTATGAAGAATATTGATAGAATTTAATGTGTTATAAGCATTGACTTACAATTATAGTTATAAGCGTTAAAGTATAAATTAGACGAAACAAGATATCAACTGTCTCAAACCACATATACTTAAACAAACGACATACTGTGAAATCAGTTTAACTTGAATATTCCATTAATTCACGCTCTTGCGCAAACAGTGATCACTAAATAAACAGAGGGTTTGAAGACCTTCAAAACTTGGAATGGGTTTGTTGTCGTCGAGATTTAGAAGGGAAATTTGTTTTTTTTTTTATTTTAAACTAGAATTCTTATTTGTTGACACTTGAAACACATCAAGACTTAAGTGAAATGCTGTCTCATTATCTAATTTCCTAGTTTAAGTTTGTGTTTAACCCCTGACGCAATAGGAAGGGAGTTATCAAGTTTGAACCCTTTGTCTGAGTATATGTCTGTGATGGTACCAATAGCTCCCTTTATACACTTACTTTTTCGCGCACTATCAGGAGCGTACAGGACTGCGCGTGAAAAGTCTGCACGCGTAATCGCGCGATTACCTCTTTGAATTTTTTAAACTAACGTTCTTTCGCGCGCGTATGCTCGTGTTCGTTTTTACTACAACGGAAGAGCGTCTGTGTAAAAGGCTACTTTGGAACGCACGATTGCGCGCGCAACTGATGAGTGCAATCGCGCGGTCTTTCCCTTTTCCTTCCAACATCTTTGCACGCGCGCTCAATCGCGCATGATTGCTGTATCATGCCCGAAACAGTGTCTGTGTAAAGCCCTTGACTGGCTTCCAAACGGATGCACTGAAAGCCAATTTAATCAGGATGGTTCTTAACAATGTATGATGAATACCTGCAGCTGTTAAAGATCATCAACTCTGTTTTCCGTTTGTGTAGGGATCTCAGCCATAAAATGAATGTTTACTTTACTATCACTTGGTCGATCGACTTGAATTGGGTAAACTATATACCTACATGTTACAATAAAATAGCAACCTTCGACTGTACCTGCTACCAGTATAATTTGCAGCCTACCCAACTCTTCAACCTCATACAGCAGAACTACTGCATTTGGGCTCATTAAACTGTTTCCGAGGAGTGGTTAGCTTAAGAATGGTGACCTTATTGAATTTTTGGAGTACTCGGCTTCGTATTGGGGCATTATGTATATGTATTTTAAAATAATATTTTATTATACTGATCATGTTCAGAATGTATAGCATTTACGTACCAGGTACTAATAGCACTATATATACATTTATTGGTGTCATTAGCCGCATATTGCACATAACACAAGAATACTAGGAGGTCATTTCCTTGGAGTCAAACGTATGCCTATTTACTGGATTTATCTACAGTTAATGGTGCAATGTAAGTTATTAATACAACTCACCTTTTGGCAGGAATGATAAACTGATGCACAAACACGCACTCAACAAGTAAGTTATAATTAAAGTCTTTTTCCTTCCGAATCTGTCGAGCACCAACAAACATATGAAATTTGCAGGAATTTCCACTAAGCCTACTAACATAAAGTTTACGTATTTATTTCCTGCTAGCGAAACTGAATTTATTGACAGTCCATAGTAAACAAATGTACATGTTGTCCATAGAAAAGAACACACAAAAACCCGTTGCCTTATTATAGGCGATTTGATAACTTGTAATAAATTTGACTTTTTATTAGCAACGTTGTTTTCTTCAGCAGTTTTAATTCCATCATCAGTGTCAATTTTCTTATCTAACTCATAAAGGGGAGATAGTAATTCTTCTGATATTTCAACTTTGTTCATTTTCGCTGCTTTCCTTAGAATGGAAGCTGCTTCGTAATTTCTGCCTTTGCTGATCAACCATCTGACGCTCTCGTTTAATATCCATAAATAAGAGAATACTAAACAAGCTGGGGCATATATTACTCGTAATAATACCCTCCAGCTTTGAAACCACCACGATAGACTTGACAACGTCATCAATCCAAGAACATAAACTGCGTTAATCAATGTATTTCCGAACACTCTACCTTTTGGTCCGACTAATTCCATAGCTGAAAATAAAACACGTGATTATTTAAGAGGGACAATAACATAATAGTTACTACTTATTATCAACAATCAACGTAGAGAATTTGTAATGCATTTTAATTTTACAACCAGCATATTGCATGGAAATTATATGTAACCTGTGAGCCGTCAAATTCCATTTAGTTACGACTTCCTTATTGCATTATTAGTGAATGACGTTTTTAAGAACTTTTTCTGCCAATTTGATATTTAATTATATTACATAAATACAATTTATATACATGCAAACAACAAAACTATGGAATTCCATTATTCTTTTCTCTTGAATGCGTAAGAAAACTCTCATAACCAATAGGTCGACCTAGGGGTCGGGTATCTTAGGGCATCGACTATATATTAGCATGGTGGTACGAGTCATAATTTGGTTTATATATTATATATTATTTACGATAGTCATCATCATCGTCGTATCAGTCGGAAGACGTCCACTGCAGAACATAGGCCTGGCTGACTGAACGCCTTCCGGTTTGTGACCTCCATTCAGAAACTGTCTGTCACAACGGCCGTTAGATCTACGAGCTACCCGCTCACGCGACACGTGCAGCCGTGGACGTACGCTGCCACGTAGCGATGCGCGATGTGTGCACATCTGGTTACATAGCGCACCTAGAGGTGCCGGCGATGATGTTACGCCGTTTTGTCGGATATCGAAGGTATAACAGGTAAAACAGCTAATATTAATTACTATTTCGATAACTACTCGAGCAAACCATAGTTATTTATTAGCAGTTAGTACAAAATTGTATTTGGCATGTTGCCAGTAAGCACGTTAAAATTGTGTTGCTTTAGTACCTACCTATTATGATTACGTATTGTTGTTACGTTCTTCTTTACAACGAATATAAAAATTATAACAAATATAATAAAAATAACTAAAAAAAAAATAAAACATAATATACAATATTGTTTTGCTTAATTTTTAATTTTTGCCTAATTTTTGCTTACTTTTACCTGTTTTTGCTATTTGTAGGTATACAAATTGTTGAATGTAAATTTGATTTGTTCTATATATATATTTGATTGTTTATTCTATTTGTTTGTATAGACAGACTCTGTATAGACGAGGTAATACTCTCGTGTTTCCAAAATATTACCTTTATGTAATGCAGTGCATACCTTTAATTTAAGTGCATGCATAGTACTAGTTTTGAATGTTTCGTTTTTATACACATTTAACGTATCTGTATGTATTTAGTTGGTAAGCCTTACTAAATAAATAAATATACACATTTTATTACACATACACAAGCAGAAATATCCCCTAAGGGCGCCCCTTAGCAATACTTAAAATTCGTTTGCGGCGCGCTTAAACAATCTTAACAGCTCGTGCAGCTTTAGCTGGCCGAGTTTGTCTAAACAGCTGAGGCGCGCCGGTTTTTAATAATAATAATAATAATTCTTTAACTTTCGATTAACGTAAAAATCTAAGGGATATGGTGTATGTGTGTGTGATGTGAAATAAAAATGTGACGTCTTTGATACACTACTCAAAATGGTATCATATTCATATTCATATTGTGTTAGTGTCTGATAGGTAGATTAGATAGCTTTTTACTACTTGTTTTTACTACTTACTAGTTAATATTTCCAATACAAAGGTACTAAATCACGAGATATTAATTATCAAAATACAAGGGAATTGTCACGTCTTTGTGAAATGTCAAAATGATGCATTATTTTTCTATCGTATTTTTGTGTTATATTTCGAGGAATAGTCATAAGTTTACCCTGAATATAATTTTTTTTTATAATATCAAGCGAACAAGTCGTGCGCCTGATGGTAAGTTACAAGCCTGTCCATAACAGTTACAGTGCCACTCAGAGCTTTAAATCGCAAAGATCTGAAGGGCACTGCCACTGCGCCTGTCACCCTGAGACATAAGTAGACAAGTCCCATGTGCCTGTAATTTCACCAACACCCTTACCCTTCAAAACCGGAACACAGTAATGACATTACTGCTTGGCGGCAGAAATAGGTAAGGTGGCAGTACTTCCCTGGACGAACTCTTTCACAAGGAGCTCTAGTGCTACTAAAAATGTTTGTGTTGATGTATATAAGCTATACTTTAAAGTATAATTTCGTGGTAAACGTTAGACCGAATCAAACAGAATATATGATCATGTTTATCCATGTAGATGAAAAATTTCATTTGTGCTTTTTAAGTATAGGATTTGCGGTGTATTATAGCATTTTAATTGAATTATTTTTTAGTTGGTAGTACGGAAGGTATTTATGCAGCAATGCAGAATAATCAGTTTTTATTTATAAAATCTTGCATTTAAACTGAGTGCTTTTCGAAATTGCCAAACCAGATAGCCGTCATTTTGCGGTTGGTTTAAAGTGCGCGTAGTGTCCTTTACGGGCCGAGGAGGTAGGGATAGCGTATCGCGTGAGCGTAAGTGCCCTGGCAATAGTCATATTAAAAGATAAACTTTAGTTCCTTACCCAGAACAAAAGCGGTACTATAAGCACCAGCTCCTAAAGCGGCTTCCAAGAACTCCAAAGTGACCATCGTGAAGTAATTGGGGGAGAAAGATCTTGCAAGCCCGAAAATGCCATTCATTAATGACGCTATGGACAACGCCACTCGTCTTCCGTATTTATCAGAAATGATTCCAGTAGCTGGTAGGGATATGAAGAGACCTGCGTTGTGTATTGAGCCAACAAGAGTACGCTTCCAGTTTTGACAGCCGAGGTTGAACTGCAACAAACAAGATTGTCAAAATGATACATATAACATTAACAATACGTGAGTACATATACATCGTCGCCTTACTTTCTCATCTTAAAGCACAAAGTTCCTGAAATGTAAAAAATGCCGTGTATATACAAATTTTCCAGGCTGACTTCAAATCATATTACTCTCATATTCACACACTGGCTTTTACCTATTCTTAAAGTAATGCGTCCAAATGAATACCCTTAACATTTTTTATTAATAAATTTAAAATAAATAGAAAGTTTTGCCGTCTCTTGAATAATCTCTTTATAAGATACATGTTTGTGAAAGCAAGGCATCGATATGTAACATCGAGTACTTAGGTTTTCGCGATTGTTACACATAGGAAACTATTTTTCCGGGTCTAAATCGCATAAATATTTGTTTTTTTTCAAACAAACCAACGTTTCGGGCCCTTTACAGGTCCCATGATCACGGCTGAATGAGATGGTATGCTATTCTGAAGTAGAGTTACAAATTTTCTATGTGCTTGTTATCGTATCTTTGTATTTTATTTTTCAACGACTTTTTAGCCGTAGCGCCATATATGAGAAATGTATGAAAGTATTTTCTCACCCAGGTAACCTATCACAAAGTCGAAAATTGTTTTGTCCGAAATAACGTTTGTTTGATTTTCATTACATCAAAAACCGAATTATAATGAAACCGTTGTTCTTTCAGGATATGTTGAATGTTTATCGCAAAGACACGATTAGGTTCGGTTAGGTTAGGTTAGGTTTAAAAGAAAAAACATTTTCCTCTCAAATTACTTTGGAAGTTATGAAATTTCGACCAAACGTTATTTCTGGAAAATGTCATTTCGAGCTACTGATAGGTAACCCGTCACCCAGTTAGATACCTTTACAGCTATCAGCCCCGGCTAGCGATGTCGCTATTCACTGTATTTAATTTTTTATTGAATTGATATTCAATTATTTTTTATGTGAAATTACTACACTAGTTTGTTATAATTATTAATACAAAGATCGAACACTCAGAAAAAAGTACTTACTATTGTTGACTGTCAGAGAATTTTAACTGTCAAAAAAAGAAAATTATGTCATTATGAAATCTATTACAATTACGTTGTTTTCAATTATTATGTGTTTTTTTTTTCATGAAAATGTTTCCGCATTATCATAAAAAAAATAACACAAGCTGAGTTTTGATTGTCACGTTGTGAATTTGGAATTATAGTCTTGTCAACTGTTAGTGTCGCCAAGGAGCATAGATGTGGCTGCAATAATTTTACGAAATAAACGTCGCATTCTTTTATTTAACGAGAAATTATTTCCTATGGACTATTAAATAAAAAAATAAACAAAATATTGAAGAGATTTATGTCATTAAATAAGTTCAACTTAACTTTTAATCGTTACAAATCAATATTTTGACAATAAATTCGAAAACAATATTGTTTCCATTGCATCCGTGTAACTTTTAGCAGCGATTATGCAATCCTCTTAACTTATGTCCATGTCGAGGAGTAAGCCCTATGCACAGTATGCGTGGTAAATAAACGTCGCAGTGACAGCAGTTGACTGATAGAGTTTGTTGTTGCTTATCATTTGTCATTGTTTAAATGCTATGTAAAATTGCATATAATATAATATTAAAGATAATAATAAGAAATAAAAATAATAGTTATTTTTGATACAAGTGCGGAAAGTTAGTCATTATTCACAGCCTCGAGACTAACAAGGGACTCGAGACAAACAAATGTAATTAAATAAATATACAACCTCTTTAGTTAAACATAGGTTTAAGACTTGAAACAACAGTAAATTTAAAAAAGAAATGTGAAAGTAAAAAGCACTAGTGCGAAAAATCCAACTTTCGGCGCGATTTGTAGTACGAAAAATACCACGTCTTGAGCAACTGTATTTAAAAAAATCTTTATTTCTTAAAAACATGGTCTCTTAAACAATAGTGGCTGGAGCCTCGTTTTATGCATAGCCTGTGTTAGAAGGCACCGCTGTTCATTCGCTACACGTAAATTAGAGTAAATTACATAATATAAACCAAGTAATCGTTCAAATCATGTTCAAATCATTCTATCACACATTTCTCATTACATCGTTCAAGGTCACAAAAATATTGAAATTATCGTGTGTGCGTGCGTGCGTGCTTGCGTGCGTGCTTGCGTGCGTGCTTGCGTACGTGGATGCGTGTGTGTGTGGACGTGTATTTAAGCGTGGTTATCAAGCAGAGCCTCAACTTCTTCATATGTTTTCCCCGCAACCCATTTCGATACAATCTATTTACACTCATGATACAATTTGGTGTAGATTTTTAATTCCTTATTCAAAGTGTTGTATATGTTGTGTTGTGTATGTTGGGCGCACGTTTGTCGTATTGCCTACCTGCAAATACAGTGTTGGTATTTGGAATTGGTATTACAAGATCTTGCCTTCTTTTCTGTCTGATACTATGGTCGTATGCTAAAGTTTTATGTTTTTTTACACTATGCTAGTGATATACAATTTACACACAAGTTGAACAATTGTTCACTACAAAACCTCATCTTCTTAAAATATATGACCTTAATCAAGCTGCGTTGAGCATGTCTACATCAAGGAACCTCGTTTTCGCCGTACCACCCCAGGTATGCAATACACTAAGATAGACTGTACTAAAGATATGGATACTTCTTTCAGCAGGTCTCGAACAGATGTCGGACGAAGTACAAAAAAAAGTAAACCCCCAGAAACGTTGGTTTGTTTAAAAAAACAAATATACGCAATTTAGATCTGAAAAAATAGTTTCATTACTAAAACAAACAGCCGCCAAAGATTATAATTATAGATATAGTTGATTATTTATAATAATGTAATGTTGGATAAAACTAATTATCGAGCTTAAAATTAATATTTAGGATAAAAGATGGTGCGATTATGATTGTGTTTTTAGTTTTAAGGTCAGATTGTCTTATCGGTCATTTGCTCGTATCGGGTGACAACACGTTAGAAGTCAGTAGGCCGAGGAACCAATTATCGTATGTTACGACAATTTCTCGATTACTAAATTATTTCGATTACTAAATGTCTATAGAATATATCACTAACATCTGTGTTGTCGATAGAGATGCTTGGTGGAAATATTTTGAAATCTTCGTTTACATCAACAACAATATCTTCTTCTTACTATCTTTGTCCCAGGCTTGGTGGGGTCGGTATAACAGTAGGTATTAAGTGTCCAACTTTAATGTTTTTTCCCTGATCTATAAGTCGTAAAAATATACCTTTTTTATAAATGGTTGTTGTGCACTAAAAAAAATTTAGGGTTTTACGATTTCTACACCTACTTTTTAGGAATCTCATGGTCGTCAAATCTTTGGTAAAGAGCCCGAAATATCGTTTTAAAAAAAATAAATTAATGCGATTTAAATTCCAGTTTATTTTTTATTACAGATTATTTGTACAAATAACTTGATAATTGTTCAATATCAATTCATTTAATGAACCTCATTGTCTTGATAGTAATCGAAATATTGATCTACGATTGCTTTATCTCACTAAAAACGAACAAGTAAAGATAGTCAACAGCTGAGCTTTAGACTTTGCACCTTCTTATCGCAAGTATCATAGCGTTGAATTTAAATTTTAAGGCGAGTCATCGATGGAGCAGCGGCAAAAACTATTATGCTAGATCAAAGCGTTTTGGTATTTACTATTAAATAACGATCTTACAAAAAATATGCGATACACCAATGGATATTGTCTAAAGAATGTGCTAATTCGTTACACGATGAGATGTATTTTACCCGATCGTATAATATTCCGAAAACAGGCTACAACAAAAGTGAATTGTGATTTAAGAATAAAATATCTAACCTTGCCATTGACTTACAAATAAATGGACGACGGGTCTAATACAAAAATATATTTAAATATTTAAACGTAGTGACATGTAAAGGAATATGAAAAAGCTAAAACGTTGAATTTAAATTAATTAATGTCGTCGCAGTACTGTCTAATTTTGCTTGCTTCGCTGTCAGTCGGACAAACGAAGGCTAAAGCGTGAATGACACTCTGTATACGATTTTAACGCCCTATAAGTTCGGATACTCTTTAGCGCACCCGACGTCCATATATTTGTAAGTCAATGAACCTTGCACATAATTTTTATATGAAGATATTTCTTTTTAAGTACTACAGAGAACCTGCTAAATTTTGGTTTTTAACTGAAGCCCTATAGTTATAAAATTTACATTTATCCGAAATCTTGAAAGTTGCCCAGCAACGGTTTAAAGACGCGCCGCGCCGCCCGTTGCTCCGCCAGTCGCCATCGAGCGCTTGTCAACATCGGATCTGTGACAAATTTTCTTCCCCAGTTCTTACTTTTAACCGACTTCAAAAAAAGGAGGAGGTGAGAATCTCCTCTCAAATCGACTGTATGTTCTTTTTTTGTATGTATATTACGTGGTAACCTTTGATGATTTTTTTTTGTTCGAAAGAAGGTACCTCAGGTGTGGTCCCATTTCATAATAATAAACAATAAACAATTTATTTCAGGCCATTGCCCATAAGATAATGGTGTTAGTTACAAAAGAAAACCTTAGAATTATGTTAATATGATTACAATGATTTTTGAAAATTGTATTAAAAAATTTAAAAAATTGAGCTATAAAAATGAGAATATTAAAATTATGAAAATCTAATGAAAAATCCCAAACAGACATAAGACTGCAGTACTAATTAATATGTTTTAGTTTATTCTAATTTTTATTAATAATTAATAATAAATTGAACTTAATAGAAATTCATTCAATAAAATAATTTGTAAAACTTAATATAGCGTAAATTGGTTTTCTTTGTAAAATTAAAAATAAGGTATTTAATTAATAACTATTGTAATTATAGTGCAAAAATAGGGTGGTTTGCATTAATATTAGACATAACTGGTTGAAGACTGTACGACCTCAGTCAACCGGGACCATGGGACCTGTAAAGGGCCCGAAACGTCGCTCGGTTTGTTTGAAA